AGGAACGAACACCTCTGGCTTCCTGCATGTAACTGTGGTCCGCAGCCTGAAGAGTACTCCTCTTGCTTCATTTGCAGCCACCTGACATTGTCTTGTAGGCCGGAAGTCTTTTGTGACTATGATCCCTAGGTCCATTACCTCCGTCGTGCCACGGAGCACTGCGTCCCCGGATGAGTCAACATTGTTCGCCATTAGCTGAGACTTGGCAATATTCAGGGGTAAATCCCATCGAGCCGGCCAGCTGCAAACTGCTTCTAGGTCCTGGATTAAGTTCTCTGTTGACGGTTTCCAGCTTAAACCTAACGCTGCCTCTCGAAGACTCTCTACTTGTACACTCCCATACATGCGAACCATTTTGATCCCTGGTTTAGTGTATTGTACCGGTTCTTTTAATTGAAGGACCGCGTGGTCGCCCCTGCCTAGGGGGACCTATATCCTGAGACTAACGATATCTGACCTTGCTCGAGAAATAGCCAAGTCAATGATTGAGGCCTCTGGCTACGTTCCATTACGTGCTGCATAAACGCATGCGAATGGATCCACTCCAGAGTGCGCACCCCGCAGTTCCTCTAGGATCCCATTCTTCTTCCAAAGGTATTTCAGGAAGGTTTAAATCCCCCACGATGAGAAATCTATAGGCCCTTCGAAGGGTAGTGGCGTGGCATCCTAACTATTAGAATTTCTAAAAACGATCGATTTTTAAATGTATTTTAGAAAAAGCGATGTCAAATTCAGCCGAAATGGAACATATTTTGGGTTTGAGTGATTTGCTAAAATTTAATTTGTTTTAATCAACCTCAGTTAAGTTTGTGCGGAAGGTATAAACACTGCAACCTAAATGCGACGATCCCTTTCATGCTCATATCAACCATGGCTCATGTCTACGATACGGTCGTTTTTGAACGGATGGTAAAAAATTGCTATGGATCGCTGGACGGTTTCTTGGAGGACTTCCGTGAATTCCAAAGAGTTACTTGCACTTTCTTCTACGTTTATGCGTCAATGACAGCCTGAATGTTTTTCGTATTATTTCATCAAATATATCTGTGTACATCACAGAAGGCGCTGCGAAACTGCAACCAGGTAATTATGCCTCTCATTTCTAATGTATTTAACCCGTTTGAGGCTGCGAAATATCGATTGTCCGGCATTCGTTGGAATTCGCGCGGTTGACACGGAGTCCTGAGTGATGAAACGTTGTCTGGTGAACAACCACAACTTTCATGTGGGTCAGCGAAGTCTGTATATAAGTAATCATCGTCTATCTGGAGAACAGGATGAGGAAGTGTGTACTTTGATGGAAAATTTTAGAAATACTTGCGAGCTAAGGGATTTCGTCACACAGGTTAAAGAGACCCTTAACTACGGCAGATATAAGATCCATACGTCAAAGAAGGTCTCAGTCGGATTAACGTGGTGATGCGGTGACAGATAGGGATATGCTAGATCATCACGGAGAGGTTAGGATAGGGCTGAACGAAGGCGACGTTCCTCATATTTATTTTGTTCCATTTGTAATTATGTTCAATGCGACCTTCAAAGTATTCCTCTTCGGCTTCTCAAATAAGAATGATTTTGTTGTACATTTGATCACTTCTATGCATGCTTTACGGGTCTCCGTGAAATATACACTTATTTATTTATTTATTGTGCAGACTTCCGTGACCGGAATCCATGCACGACTAGGTACAGTTTCATGTCATCCAATCACCGTTCAGGAAGCTCGATCAATGGTACACTGGGCGAACATGACATCCGAGTTAGTACATATGATGCGTCGGCGCAAATGGTTACGTAAATGGACGACGGCCCTTCAAGCAATCATATGAGATATTTCCTTCTATAAAACATGCTCTAATTCTATCAGTAAACATAAGCATTTGCTGCTATCAATTCTTCGTGTATTTCATTGGTGTCCGCAGTTCGGGTTGGAGCCAATTCAGTTCTAAGCAGTACAGTCCGGATTCCTAATACGATTCCGATTACTACAATTTGGCGTCGCGAAATGGTGACTCCTGTCATTGAACCACTGAACCTGCACGGAAGCCCGTCAGAAATCAGAGTGGGTAGAACGTTTCGAATTGTGGTGCAGCATCCGGAAAGGAGGAATGCAAAATCATTCGGTCCCATTTTTAACGTTGGGCGGCCGAGAGCTGTATTCCCCGGTGAAGAATCTATCGTTCCCGAATGTTCCTGCTAAATTGCCCTTCGAGAAGTTGAAATCCTTATTACTGGACCACAATCTCCCAGTGGAATTTTAGGCCACTGAACGGGCCAAATTTAACTCAATAATTAGAGCTGCCAACATGCCGTACCGTGAATTCATTCTTCAGTTCAATAAACAGGCGTCAAAATGCAACTATGATGATCGATTGGAAGAACAACTTTGTGATCGTCTCGTTGCTGGAATCAACAACAGCTCATTAAAGCGTAAGATTTTGAAAAAGAATGACATCACAATTACTGAGGCTCAAAAAATCGGTGTTGATTCTGGAGGACCCGTCTCGAACGAGTTACGCTTGCGTCACTACTGATACTTCTGCCGAATTCCACCGAACGATCAATCCGGATAACAATACGTTTCACGAAGTCAAATATTGC